GTGACCTCAGAGCTGCACTCTTTTAGCCTCGTCTCCATCATGTCTTCCAGCTTCGGGGTCTCCAACTCCAGTCCTCAGAGCTACCGTCCTGCAGCTTTTAGATGCATCCTTGTTCCAACACACCTGAATCAAATGGATGGCGTGTTACCAGGCCTTTGCCTAACTCGATGACACGCTGAAGAGGTAATTCAACCATTTGATTCAGCTGTTTCTCTGCATTAAAGCTACAGGACAGTAGCTCTCAAAGACTGGAGTTGTAGATCTCTGCTTTAAAGCGTGCAGGTGGAGGTCTGTGCAGCTACAGATCAGGTGTGTACACCTTTTACTGCACCAGGTCACAGTTGAAGCGCTCACAATCAGGTTCCAACTTCTTAAAATAGTTTCAGACACTAGAAGCTGTTACCTTTGGTTCTTGTCTGCTGTTATTTGGGTGTATAAAGGTTAGTATGTGAGCCTAACTAAGGCAGCGCAGACGTTTGTGATTTTAGAGTCAGAGCTGGCAGCAGGACAGCAGCAGTGGTGCACCTGTGTGCAGGTATCTACCTGAGCGCCTGGTGGCCAGCCGGTCCAAGCAGATGGACAGCAGCAGGCCGGTGGTGATGGAGTAAATACAAAAGGCCAGCAGGTGGGAGAGGAGTCTCAACACAGGCACACAAGAAGAAGGAGCAGGAGGAGGACGAGGTGAGGAACAGTTGGTGGGAGGAGGGGGAAGAGAGGGGGACATGGTTTCACGAGAATGGACAGATGATCTGACGGAGGTCGTCGGGGGATCTGCAGGAGAGATGAGGAGGCGTCTTCAGTTCATTCACTCAGGGTTCAGCTCAGTGTGAGCGGTGCAGCGAGGCTACACCACAAACACAGGCTGTCATCTCCATCTATCAGTAACAGATGCTGAAGAGGAGCACGCTAGTTATTACATCATTATTGATCGTGATTAGAACCACAGTCAAATCTCAGAGTGATGAATCCTCTGTCTTTGCTCCACCTCCTCTCCATCGAGGACATTAGAAAAACACAAAAGAGGCCCAATTTATGATGACAGCAAATGGTGTCAGTGTTCTGACCTCTGACCCTCAGGTAGCTATGAGCAGAGGATCCACTCAGATCAGTAGCACACCAGTAGAAACCCTCATTAGACTGCTGCACGTTGGAGATGGTGTGCTCTTTATGTCCAGATACAAGACGACGTCCACTGTAGAAGAAGTAAGCTGCCACCGTGTCACCAGTGCTGAGCCTGCAACGCAGAGTGAGATTACTTCCTTTTGTCACAGGAAGTGCCGGGATCTCCAGGATCACTCCTTTTTCTGGATGACAGAGACAAAAGTACAGACATGTAGACAGGAAGCTTCTGGAGACAGCATGCAGGAGGTCAAATGATGACGCCATAGGACTGAATTCATCAACGTTCATCATCACAGACTATGAATGATGGTGTGGCCACTGCAGTCTGACCCTCTGCTTTTATAATGATCACTCAGTGTTATTTTCTTCTTGCTATGAGGGAGAAGAACAGCTAGCTAGCGTAGCTGTCAAGCTGCTTCCATAGACCAAACTGATGTTTGCTAATCATTGCTACATATCGTCCAAATTAAAACTGGCATTTCACTGAAGTGCAGCACAAACCTCTGAGACAGTCTGTTATTACAATTAACTAACCAGCAGCCATCCTATTGGTCCAAAAGCATAAACACGGTCCAGAGGTAACTTTGCTAGTAACCACAGCTGCCTGTCAAAGGCCCGTCACTTAAAGAGGCCACGCCCCCACTGATGAAACTTTAATATGGTTTAAACAGGTGAGTTTACACCTCTGCAAACATTCTGTCCAGTTTTATTGTTATAAAGGGCAAAATTAGATTCACTTATTTATTTATTTATTCAATATTTTAACATGAGAGCCTGTGAGGGCTAACGCCCTGCTGGAGCCTCTGGTGGACATTACAGGAACTGCAGGAACTGTCAGCCCCGCAGGTCGATGGCTGTTCTGTACCACAGAGCAGCAGATTTAACACCATCTAGTTTAGTGTAGCAGTGAGTTCTAAGTACTTAAGTATCTCCTAATTACAAGTATTTTAAGTATATCAGTGTTTCCTAAAATATCCAAAAGAAAATCCCAAAAAATTAATTGAAACATATATTAAAACAATATGAAAGTAAAATTCAGACAACGTGTGATTTGAAGCTGAATTCTTACGGCTCATCTCCACATAAGCACCACATTGTTGAACTATGGATCAAGCTGTTATTCACACATTCAAGGTGCTTTATATGCTAAATGCACCTGCATCTATATAAAAATAAATATATGGTTGTACTTCACCTGTCACAGGTGGTCCTGATGCTGTAATGCTCTTAAAAGTTCAGAGCAACTGTGAAAAAGAAGAAGAAAAGAAACAACTTACTTTACCTGAAACACTGATGGTGACTTCATCACTCTTCTGCCCAGAGCTGGTTTCACACCAGTAAATCGCCGTGAAGGTTGTTTCAAAGTCCTGAACACACAAGGACTCCTCAAGTCTAGCGAAGTCTGCCGCTGCTCCACACTCATCGGTCTGGTTTCCTCTGGTCCTCCTCACCGTCCATCCATCATCACAGCTCAGAGACACTGGAGAGGATCCGCTGAAGACCTGCTGAAGGTCTGGACTGACAGACAGAGACACTGGAGGACACACACAGTAAATGAGTTTGTGTTCTTGTTGGAGTCTCACTGATCGTTTTCACGTCATCGACTCACCTGCAGAAACAGTCAGTGCAGACAGCAGCAGCACACACACACCTGCAACAGGAGGAAAATCCAGAGTTGAGCTTTTTCTCACGTCCTCAGAGGTGGACACTAACAGACTGTGGCAGACGTCCACACGGTGAGATCAGGATGAAGATTGGACCATCACAAAAGACCACATTCCTCACTATAAAGCACCTGAAGTACTGCTGAATCATCACAGCCAAATTGTTTTCAGCTCTTAGATCATTATGTAAGTTTCCTCATATGTTTAAATGGGACAAAATATAAAAACTTTAAAGTTTCAAAAACCTTCCAGATTCCAGTTCCTGGTTTTCTTTCCTCATTTGTAATATTTATTGTGTCCTTTGTTGTTTGTGTCTGTATTAAGAATGAACCTTTAAAAAACAAGCACATCTTTTACAGAGACCCTGACTCTAAACTACAGACCCTGACCGCTGCTGAACATTAAACATTTCTGATTGGATTATTTTCTGGATTTACACAACAGAACTGAGCCCACTTCCTGTTTTCTCCCTCGACAACACGGAGTAAACTCACAGGATTCAGTGTCCGTCCTTTACCTGGAGCTGGACTCTGTGGTAGCTGGGATCACTGAGTGGGTGAGTGGGTGTGTGTGACTCACCGGGGAGCAGAGGTGCCGTCTTCATGGTGTCTGGATGAGCACCGAGGGTCAGTGTGAGCTGCAGACTTTCACTTCAGCTCTTTCACAGCCGTCTGTTACCACATTAGGAAGCCTCAGTATAAGGAGGGGTAACAGGAGCAAAGGTCTGAGCTCTGAGCCAATCACGTTCAAGTACGGCCTTCTTAAACCTGACCTGCAAACGCTGCAGTTTAGAAATCCTTTGTGTGCTGTGTGAGTTTATCAAAGCTCCTTCAGTCAGTCAAGAAAACACAAGTACGACTAAAGTAACAGCTGAGATTGTTAGCCTATAAACAAACTGCACCTCAGTCACATGACTGCAGCGTCGCCACCTCTGAGCTCATGAGTTCCTGCAGCTCCTCACCTGCTCACATCACCTGCCTGTTCAGAGGCTTCTCTTTGGATGCACACAGAGCTGCAGACCACGTCTGACCAGCAGTGACCTCCAGCTCTTCTACTGGACCTCTAAAGTGGGTCTCGTGTCCAGACACGAGTGTTTTTAACTCTCAGTGGCTCGTGTTGGACAGGAGATATGTGAAATGCGCCGGTTTGAACTGGATGATAATAAGAAGTAAAAGAAGCCCACAGTGAGTCAGTGTGGGTGAGCTGTGGGCAGGACAAGCCCACAGTGAGTGCACGTGATCTCACCTACATTTTACTAAACCTATAGGCCTTTATGTGTGAAACTGCAGGGGCGCTGTGGGTGATAACTGTGGGTTTGTCCTGCCCACAGCTCACCCACACTGACTCACTGTGGGCTCAGGAGGACACGTTAGCCGGGGCATTATTATTTATTATAAAATAAAAGATGAAGCCAGAGAGGATGTTTTATTCCACGCTCAGAAAGACGATGCTGGGAGAAGAGACTCTACAGGAACACGGAGGCTAAACTGAGCTCATCCAGGCTCTGCACAAGGACTGAGAAAGTTATCAGGACAGATTCAGTTTTCTGAGACACGCCAACTTATCTGGTGGGATTTGGAGAAAGATAAGAAAGAAAGACAGGAGAGGAAGAAGAGCTTAGATTTAAAGGGGAGGATGCTCATTTAAGTCCTCGTGTTTAAATCAAATGTTATGTTTGTTCACACTGTGAAACCTGCTGCTAAACAAACTGAGGCCGACTGACCATGTTGTTTAAAGTCTGCATGAAAGTCGTCTGCAGGTTAGTTTGCTGCACTGTGATTGGTTTAAAGGTTCCTCCACCACTTCAACCTCTTCTCTGCTCATTTCCTGTTTCGGGGCAAAGTCAGCCTACTCAGTGTAAGAAACAGGACAGATATATTTTTACATTTTCCTTCTCTGCTTGTGTTTAACTTACCTGAGTAAAGCTGAGAATCTTTATTGGAAATATAATTTAGACTGAAACGAAGTTTGTAATTCCATCTACTGATGTTATTATATTAATATGACACGAGGTTCAGTTTAACAGTAGTATCTGTACTTCTGCTTAAGTACAGGTTGTGTGTACTTTTGCCACCTCTGCTTATTTTCCTCTGAGTTATTGACCCTGTCGCCAGTTAGCTAACATAAACTATGTAAGCTATTCAACCAACCACATGATGCCATGCTCCGTACTGACACAAGATGGCAACTTATTTAAAACTTTAAGCTCTTATTTGTTAAATCCAGCTTCACAGTTATATCAGTTTTTGAGAGCAGGGCTCAGTGATGGGAAAAAGCCTTTACACATTTAAGAGTGTCGTGTCCACTTTAACGGGATCCTACAACTTTAAGTGGAGTGGACACAGTTCAGAGTACGAGAGCTGATGAAACTCACATTCACTTCACCATCATCTACAGCAGCAGCTGATTCTCAGACTGAACGGAGGCCACGGCTTCATTTCTGTCTCTTTCTCCCATCTAGTGGTCATTCAGTGGTACTACAGTTGATACGTCCCTTACAAAAGCACAAGGCCTGACTCAGTGTGGCGTCATAAGTCGCTCACAGCCAGTTCAGCTCTTTTAGTTTTGTGTTTTTGCAGTTTCAGTTTGTTAACAATCACAGAGAAGCTCCAGAGGACCAAGAAGAGACACTCAGTGGACACAGGAAGTGTTTGACTTACAGTTTTGGACGGTTTTCATGTTGCACATAAAGACTTCGACCTCACAGCGATGGGTTATTAGAAGTGTGCGTGTTCTGTTTTCTCACATGGAGGATTGAAAGCTGCAGATCATCACTCCAAAATCCTCCTGCTGCTGCTGGGAGGTGCATCCATCTGGCAGTTTACCGTTTTCATGCAGGTCACATTGAATGGTTTTATTTTGAAACACCTTGATGGTCTCCTCCATCCTGCAGCTCTGGGGTCAAACTGTGGGATTACCTGGGTAGATGATGTCCAGACCGCACCCACATGTCCTGTTCTGATGCGATCCTGCAGCCTCGATGCCTCGACTGCTCAGTCTGATCATGGGGCCGTTTTCTTCTCTGAGGTGTTGCTTCATATTCAGCTGGATCAGTGACGGATGGAGGCACTTTCACTGCAGTCACACAAATCCTAAACAGGGAGGAGAAATAAAGATAACAAGACATCCGGCAAGTTAACTCCTTCAAATACCTGGGAGTTCATCTGGATCTCAGCTGGAGAACACGAGCCAACAGTGTCTGTGCTCGGATCCATCAGATACTTGATCGAGCGAGGCTTCAGAGTGTAGTCAAGGCTGCACAGAAGACCATGGGCTGCCCTCCCCCCTCCCTGATGGACATTTTTTTATTTATATATGCCTGGCTGTGGAGACCGTCAGTGTTCTGGCGTCATTCAGCACCACTGAGTGACCACTAGAGGGAGCAGGAGACCAGGAGGGAAACTGTGGCTACAGCAGGGCAGCTGTTGTGAGTCGCCAGCTGTGATCTGAGGATCAGCTGGGTGTGAGTAAACTAGATCCGGTTAGTGTTGGTGGATGGATTTAATAAGAACTGGTTCTGTGTGGCTGTGTCCACTGGAGGGGTGAAGTCGGGCCGTCGGAGCTCAACCACGACCCCCAGTCTGTTGATTCAAAACAATTCAGCTTACATTTGAAAATAAATCACTTTATAGCTTCCACAGGTTCATCACACTCATAAAATACAGTGGTAGGGAAACTGAGCCAAACCATCCCATCCCTGAACTTCCAAGATCGCGAGTTTTTTGTTTTCCGCTCCACAAAACAACATCGAGCACGATGGAAAGAAACTCCATCGCAGCGAGCCGAGTTCAACATCATCAGAAAAGCGTTCGCTGCAGTTTTCAATATAATCCATGGCAGACGATAACGATCCTCCACTATGGGAAGATACGGCTGCCATGGTAACGTGGTTTCCTTTCTCCATTTATTGTTTACTCAAAACATATTTGTGATTTGTGAACTTCATGAGTTTGTACAGCCCAAATTCAAATAAACCTACACTTTTAAAAATCAGTTATCCACTTTGCAGGGGCTTCATATACTTGGACTCTAACTGTGCTCTAAACCTGAGTATAGATCAACAGGCTCCGATATGAAGCCAAAACCGGATTATTAATCACTCAGTTTATATTATGTACCAACAAAACCCCGATAAAACAGAATGATGTTGTCATTCGAGTCAGTATGATAACAAAAGTTAATCCATAACAACCCAAAACTGTGCCTCAGTGAGATGAAAGGATTCAAAGCACATATTAGAGGTGAAGTCCTCGACTTTACAAAGAACAAACAGCAAAAAAAATGGAATAAACTGATTAAATCTTTGGAATTAGACTTAAACTTTAGCGATGAATCAAACTGTTACGTTTGAGAAGTGAATATAATCAATTATCTTCTGATACAGCAACAAAAAGTCTAATGTGGCGATCTTATTATGGTCTTATTATGATCAATGGGAGAAAGTGGGAAGGCCCTTAGCATGGAGTTCAGGAAATGCAGTCTTTAACAGCACAAAGACGTCTTCAGGGAATGTAACAGTAGATCCATGTGACATTTATGACAGTTTTAGAGAATTTTATGAAAATGTTTATAAATCGGAACATGCCCAAGCTTCAGAGCAGGAACCTTAGCTCACATTCAGTCATAGACACTAAGGCACCCCAGGCTATCAGAGCATTAACAGTGGTAAGAGCACCTGGGCCAGAGGGCTTCTGATTGAATTTTACAAAACTGTCCAAGAAAAATGAATAATTTCACTTTTTAACAGGCATGAAGAAGCATATCAAAGTGAGGCTCTCCACCCACTGAGACAGGCAGTGAGTTTACCTGGTAAACCTCCTGCAGAGCGCTCATCACTCAGACCAATGACTCTGATGGGGGTGGACACCAAAATACTTCTATTAGACCCTTGGATCGCACATTTAGTTAGCGTTGTACTAAAGCATCAAGGGTTTCACAATATAGATAGATAGGAACCGGTCAGATTTATGTAACGTTCTCCCAAGTTAGGATTTGGAGATCATTTTCTCAGATGGGTTCAACCTTTGTAACAAACAATACTTTTTAAACCTGTCACATTATCTCCTATGCTATTTATTCTGACGATAACAATAATAACTGACCTATATGGCCCTCTAAGATGATGACCTGACCTTTTCTGACTAGGCTGTCTGTTAAGACACCAAAATTCATGCAACAAATAGAGCTATCAGGATGATTTCCTGGCTATAATATAAAAGATTAAAAATCCTCCATCCTGCTTCTGAACAAGGATGAAAGGCGAAACCCTTTAATGGCAAGTTAATGAAGTTAATACAGAATAAACACAAAGAATGATTAAATTCAGAGAAGTTTAATAGTGTTCAGGATCAGCACGACTCAGATTAAAGACATCTTTCTAGCATCTGCTGATAGGAAATAATACTGAAACCTAACAATGATCTAACAATGATAGAAATGTAAAAAACAAAATGTGTAACATCTCAATGCCAGCTGAATTTGAAAAAGGGACAAAAGTCAATATTTAAAACCTCAGTGTGTTGA